CCACGAGTTTACAATGAACATTCTGACCTCACATGAAGTAATCACAACGAAAGCCTTGTATGCAGGTCAAACCACAATCCGTTTGCACACAAAGGGAGAGCGAATTACGACGAACTGCGACTGCTAACCAACCCTCAAGTGCCCGAACCGCACTCACTGATTTTTGCGCCTTTTGCCATTTATGATGCCCAGCTCACCGACTTGAGTTGAGGTAATAAATATGACTAATTCAAGACAGGTGACTGCCTCGTGTTCTAGCACATAGGCCACCAAGGGAATAAAGTGTTAGGGTTCAATGAAATAACAGATTACGCTTAAATTCAGACCAGTATCTCGACGATGACAATTGCGAGAGCAATAAGAATACTTATCAACCACAAAGACCACAAAAAATTAAAAATGCCTGCACGTTGTCCCACGATCGAGGCCTAAAATGTGTCAGCAGTATTATAGAAAAAAGTAACCTTCTATTTTAACTACTGTTCTCACACCACACCAGATGTAGTTGTCTCAAAACGGCAGATTGTTTATAAGATACGCATTCAAAAATCAACTGCGTCAGCAACGGCCACAAGCGACAGTTGAGGCAAGGAATTTGTGCTGGAAAACGAATTTTCGAAGGCTGATATTGGCAGCATCCTTTGTGTGTACAAAAGGAGAAAAATATGTTGAAAGGCTTAGCGCAGGCACTGATACTTTCAACTCGCGGTGCGAGAAAACACTCCAACCAAATTTCATGGTGGACTGTAACATTCCCTTTTCACGAATGCAAGATAACACAGAGCATTACTAAGCGCACAAAGCAAAAGCGGCGTGATCGCTTTACGCAAACTACAGCAAAAAAGACGGCCATTTAAGTTAATAAACTTAAATTTAGTGCAATTCAAGTTTGGGCGTCACGACTGCTGAAGGCTTGGTTGTGCTTCACCAACAGCCAAAATTCTTCAAAACAGAACAATCCACACTCTACCAGACCAGCTTTTACAATACACATCAGAGGCCAACGAATCATACAGTCAAAGTCTGATGTAAGTTCTGCGATTGCAAAAAACCGGAAATGCAACCCCATGTTCAAAACTAGTGTCCTTAATCCCAGATAGTCGGAAAATAAAACTAAGAGGCAATTTGTCAGTCAGAATGAAGATTAACAACAGCGCCAGGCTAAAGATAAACTAACGTTGCCATGGCATTTGGCTGATGGTGTGCTTAATAAGTGAAGAATAATACACTAAATTTATTTTAAAACATCCCAATTCCAAGAACAGTATTCTGAGGGAACATGCATTGTGGCCATAAAAAACACGCTGTGGGTGTAGCACCGGACAGCAAATGGCACTGGCCGAACTTTAAATCGCCTCTCGTCCGTAACCGCAGACGCGCCAGTGTCGAATGGGGGTACTTTAGTTGGCCAATTTGAAACTAGACAAAGCCCTTACCAATGCGACATCAAACAACGAAAGCATATACTTAATATACCTTTCCATGACTGCTTGCCACAACAGAGACCGGCGTTGTAGCTTTGCAAAATAGCCAAAATAAAATATTGAAAAGTGTGGTCCTAGGCTGAAAAGAAAGGAAATTGATTGTATCTAGAGATTTTGAAATAACCGAGCATGAAAAGCGTTGAAGCAAGACCATATGGTCAGCATTGGATTTGAGATCAAGAGCCTGGAGTACGTCACTTGTACTGATAGTTGAGATAGTCTCTTCAAATGCCACCGTGAGTTAAGCGGGAGATATGGTGCTCAGGAGCTTCACACCGATTGGTAGGATGTAAGATTGGAAGATCAAAGAAGGGCACATATAAGTAGAGAAGACGAACGAAGGACGAGCCCCTCGTGTCCAGCAAACGCCCCATACGTCCTAAATGTGACCCTATGAACCAGCCCACAGCTTACAAAATACCTAGTCAATGAACACCATTCAAGGTGCAACTAGGGGGCTAAAGAGTTTAAAAGCAACGGCACGCCAAACGTTGGCGCATGTTCGTACTGCGGTGCACTAGTGATAAGAATAAGGAAACACCACAGCGCGAGGAGTTGACCAACACAAGTTACTAGCCACCTAATTACCACGGGCAAGTAAGAAAGCCAGATTTGGAAGATTGACAGTCCAATATGAGGTAACATTAATTATAACTTTAAAAATTAACTGTTAAGTTCAAAACTAGTAAATCAGAACACGAGAGATCATTGGTCCCTAGAGATTGCTTAGGTGGGGTAACAGGTTGATGGCATGGGAGGGCAAAAACACAACGAGAACAACATTTTAGGAATCAGTTTGAAAAAAAAATCCTGAAATGCTTGAGTCAAGAATCGAATCAGCCTGGAGGCAAATAGTTCCCCTAACTGGGAGGGACTATCAAAACGAAGTCAAGGTTTAGAGGGCTCCTCTCCTTAAACAGCCCTCTCAATTACCAAAAATGCCTCGAACCCTGTGAGTCAAATACGAGACCTAACACACTCTAAGTTAGCAACTAGGGCTGGTGTAGACTAAAAACGATAACTGATTGGCATTTCATAAACGTACTGAAACAACTGACTATCTAGCTTTCACGTTTCTTCCATCAGATTCGACCACAAACGCATTCAAAGGTTTTTACAAGTTCATTTCATGCAATCATGAAAACTTAATGTTCTTGTATATGTGCATAGAAACGCATTTTGTGCACATATACCCATATATACCCAAGTTTATGAATAATTCATGGATAAGCTTGTTATTAAAAAAGAGCAGCTTGCATGCAAGAAGGTGGATAAAGTTGGAGAGACTTATTAAATAGGTCATAGGCAACGTGCTGGAGTCTAGGTAAATTTTCTGAAGAGTTGTCGTGAAACTCTATTTACTAAGTTCCGATATGGGATTGAGTAGGTGGGACCGAAACAAATTGATACTTTATAAATAATAGGGTTGTTTGGAATTAACTTTTTTAAAGTTTTAGCGGTAGAGATTTGAATCAATAATATACTGGATTATTCATAAAAAGATTCAATAACCAATGCAGTACAACTTTGCGGGACAGGTGACTATAGGAGATACTCGTGATCAAGCCAATTACTTGCATGCTCCGCCTAGTTAATAAGTCGTATTCTAAACAAATACTTCAATGTTACATACTCACGAAGTCGGCTGCTATGGATGTCGATGGCCATTGTAGCTAAGTTGCAATTCAACCCCATCCCACAAGAAACTCCCCAAAATGCAATTGAAATCGGTTAAGTACTGCAGCAGGACTGGTAAACAACCCAAAGTACCAGTATCAGACACACGTGAAGATAGAAATGACATCAAATGTCAAACGGAATATCCGAAACGATGTGACATACTGCCTATACATTCCCTAAATACAAGCTATTCAGAATGATGGATAAAAAACAAACCTAGTTTTATAAGCGTTAAAACAGTGAAGTGTCTATTTAACGAAAATGAAAGCTCTGTTGGCATTTTTTTTTTAATTTTGAGTCCAGTGACGCAAATTATGCTTAATTGTCCATAGTAAAGCAGGGCGTGTGGGCTAATCAGGAATCCCCCTTTGGGAGTAATTCAAGGTTTTTAAGAATTACATTAAGCTCAAGGAAATTCAAGAATTTAGAATAGGAACATTCAGCTTAACTCTAGACGAGAATATGCTTGAAATAAGTCATCGGTAGTAAAAGAAGTAATTAAAGGATGGATCGCTGAGAGCAGCCCCTAATCACCAAGTATGATCGCGTCAAAACAAATGGGTACAAAAATAGGCTTTGCAGAAATAAACCCAAAACATACCCCTCACGTGATTTGATATAAAAGGTAGGATACATAACTAATAAAACATCGACACTCACTTCGATGATGTCCTTGTTGTTTTTTGATTCATGAGGTTCGTTATATTCGGTGTAGCGGAGAAGAACTTGGTCCATATCCGAACTGGCATACTGAAAGAGACGTTTGGCACTGTTAAATATGATCAGGGCGATCTCGCAGTCGCAAAGCACGCTCAACTCATAAGCTTTCTTCATGAGACCCAGCTTTCGCTTTGTGAAAGTGACTTGACGATTGCGTTCATCATCAATCCGCTTGATTTCTATCTTTTTCCTTCCCATTTTCCTCTAATTCTGGCAGTAGACTAAAACATAAATAAAAGGTTAAACTAAAATACGGGAGTCGAACTTATCTGCATCGAATTATCACAGCAGCATCTTTTCCTCTTAAAGAGATAAAGGTTATGGCTCAAAGGGTCACAGGGAGCCTTTAGTGGTGATGTCGACCATTACTGTAAAAACTGATTAATCAAGATAGGCACCACTGTACCTAGCTGATGTCGCTCTGCCATAAGAGAGCACTGTTTACGAGCTACTTACTTAAAGGAAGCGATAAAAGTGAAAATTTCTCCTCCATGATATTGGGGACCGCGAAGCAACAGCCCAGTTACGGAGCAATCGCACGGCAAAACAACAATCACTAAGGCTAGAACAGCCAAAAATCATTTGAAGAACCACTATTTTTCGTAAGACGCAAATAAAAGTAAGCAGAACGTGTTATAAGTACTGCCAGAGCAACCTCAATGAATGTTGGTGACAGTAAAATTAAAGGACAGTTTTGGCGAAGACTATTTTGAGCAGGTTGGAAAATTACTTCACTTTAAAATTCAATTTAACATAAAAGGATACTTCAGAAAACACGTAAAAATTTTAACTATTGACTGGTTTTGGTGAAAAAAGGTGCAATTCAACATTATAAATTGGCAGAGTTAAATGCACGACATTTTTGGGGGAAATTTTAGAGGTACGCAACAGAGTCCTATAATTTTGATTATTAAAACTAATACCTTTGGTGGCACGCTAATGTGTTAGAGCATCGTATGGAGCCAGAAGTACTAAAATTGTTGCAGTTTAAATAAGGCGTTAAAAGACACTTTTCGTATCGTTCTTGCCTGGAAGTTACACTCATATTTTCGTGATAGACGAGCACACTATCTGTATGCTATACAATATGAAGAATGCTGCGCAACATCGAAATATTAATAATACGAAAAAACAAAGCTTTACAAATTCAGACATCGTGGGAAGCTACAACGAACCTTGAAAGAGACACTCACATCAACGACAGAAGTTTATTCGCCAAAGTACTAATATAAGGTAAAGAATGACGGGACGATCACTTTGGAATAAAGTAACTAACAAACGAAGTACCGTTTATAAGAAGATTTTGGTCGGTTTAAAACGTCGAGGAAAGGTTAATTGTTCTATCAAAATTATCCAGTTTTGTTTTTAGTTGCAGATTCTTGGACTAAAAATACCACGACAAATGTTAGTTTTTTAGATAGGAAAGTACTGGACTGTGGTTTGCAACAGACAGAAGGGTCATCCTGATATTCTAGGGAAGATATCACACTATTAAGACTGCTACACACAGCTCCTAATACTTTAAAATGAATGAGCTTACTCATTGCCATAGTAACTATGAGAGAACGGTGCGTATATTCCACCAATTGCCAATGTTAAAAAGTACTTAATTTAATTTTGAAACATCAGAACCCGTATATTGAAAAAAAATATTCCATTTTTATAAGTGCCGAAAAATTATCTAAAATTACATTTAATTTTGGTGAACATCAAGTGTGCTATGCTAGGAAGTCAGAATAGAAACGAATGAACAAATAGGCACTAACTCACAGAGACAGTCGCCTCAATATGCCCGCGGATGCAACAGGCTTGTTTTATTAAATTCAGTAATCATAATTAATTGAAGCAAACACTAAAAGAATTGACAATAGAGTAATAAATTGTAGCACCGTAATGCGAAAGTGACTTTTATTAAGAAGCTGTATCTTGCCACGAGAACATTAGCAAAAAAGTAAGGGGAGAAAATCACTATATAACATTATGTGGAGACTCCGTGCAAAATAAAATGACTGAGATTAGTATTCCCCATAATTAAAAGAAAGATTTAGGCTTTGCAATAGTAAGCAAAATAAAAGTCACTTATATCTTGCACGTGTCCAATTGCGTTTGCACGCATAATTAATTGAGATTTTGTTTTTTTTTTATTTACGCAGGCATATTATTGCTTGATTCATACAGGAAAACTCAATTTCATAACTTGTCTATGCGTTTACTTAAGGTAAAATTCCTAGACTCTAGAATTAACAGACTAATACAAAAGAACAGGTTTTAGAAACTCCAAAAGGCCAGTAGAGTACCTCAGGTGTCATCCATCCTTGTCCACCATGCTGACTGCGCCGCTCATTATGAACTAATTCTCTGTTTATTTCTAGCTGCCTGCTTTTTTTTCTTGCAGGTCATTCAAACGTAAGGAAGCAGAGAATTGGCTGAGGGTTGTGTGTCTGGGTACTCCAACGATTCCTTTCAGGATGGAAACTGTCTTCAGTTTCTAGCTTTGTTCCCTGCACTAGTGATGATTTTTAAAATATCCATCTCAACATTGCCCGAGACTTCACGCTTAGCAGAAAAATAGCCTAAGCGCCTAGTTGACGAAGACTATTGAGCTTGCTGACAACAATAACCCTCAAAATAAAACGTTAAAATGTACTGGTTATTACACAACTGTCAATAAAACATAGGAAAATGAACTTTTAAGTCGGCAGTTAAGGTAAATGGCTATAAACATCAATCAATG